GAAAGAACCAGTTCCACAAAGCTGTCCTCTGACCTCCACAGGTGCACTATGACCTTCAGGCCCCACCCTCATCGTGTGCATGATATCAAACTAAATGTATTGAAAGGAAAAATGCACACACAGCACTGAGAACGTGACCAGGGACGTCTGCTGAGTGTGCTCAGTCACACATTGTTCTTATGTGTCTTACCTCAGGAAAACACAGTTTTAAATCTGCATTTGTCTTATCCACAGGTATATTATGTGATTTTTGTAGGTTCTGGAGGAGAAAGGGCTTGCTGAATTTTTTTCTAGAGTATCTTACCTACTGGAGCCCCTAGGAAGCCACCAGGAGAAACGGGCTGTGGCTTTGGGATGGCGGGAGGGCCTTTAGGAAATGTTGATGCTGTAGGAATGAATAAGGAACACTTTCCAGCAGAAGCTGTGTATTGATTTACCTCAGCAGGCAGGACACAGAGGGTGTGGCTGGGGCAGTGCTACACTGGGCAGAAGATCCCAGTTCAGGATGCTGTCCTGGTGGAACCATTGCCTTTCCCGGCGTCTCTAGGACCCTAGACATAGTTTAGGCCTGAGAAGAAAAGGGAAACCAGACGGACAGGAAAGGAGCCCAGAGAAGACAGCCTTGTTTATGTCATAATATTGTTTAGGAACAACTCTGTTAAGATTGGGTGCTGAAATTCTGCAGTCAAGGCTTGACGGTCTGACCTCCTTGTCTAGAGGTTTTATGGAAAGCGACTAGGGACATCTTTCCGTCCAGTCAGAGGATGACGATGACAGCGTTTGGAATGCCAGATTCTCTGGGGCGGCCGACTTCTAGGTTGCCGCCGTCTCCTAGCAATCCAGGGCTTGTGCCAAGGCCCTGCACAGACACAAAACTGCTGGTGAGCTTTCCCCTAGAGAGGAAATAGCTCACTGGAGCCTCACTGTAGAAACCAGCACAGGTAGGTAAAATGTTTTTATAATTGCCACCAGGAAAAAGAGAGGGCCCAGGGGGAGTCTTCTGCCCAAGGGGCCCCCTCTCTAGTTATAACCTAATTTGTTGTGCGTATGTGTATTACGTGGGTGGAATTTAGCCTCCTGAGGTATTAGGTTAGATTGTTTTCAAATGTGTGGAGACTCCCAGAAATGAAGTTACTGCGTTTTCCCACAATGCTCTGTGGTTAATGTGAGGTTTTGAGATGAGATTGACACCTGTCGCCATAAGGCCAGGTTTGTTTCCTCTTTTCCTTATTGGGGTTGCACAGGAAGGCTCTGCAGTTCTGGAATTGAGGTTTGTGTTTTGATAAAGACAGTTCTAAGGTAGAAGACCAGGGAACTGGAAGCTAGTTGTCAAGGAAGAAGCTTCTACAGCCAGTCCCGCCTTCCTGCTGGGATCATTCTAGGGATTTACATTCATTTGCATGTGGCAGACAGTGTAAATAAACCAAAGGATAACCTCAGTGAGCTACCCAGAGTGTAAAAAGGTGGCCATGCAAGAGCTTTCTGGCAAGAAGAAGGTATTATATGCAAGATGAAAAATGAATCCAACATGTAGAGCTAAAATGAACTCTGAAACACAAGAAGTAGGTATAAACGCCATTTGAAAGGGTTTCCTGAAGGAGTCAGGCCAAACACTGTTTTTCATGCTTTATAGGGTTTAACTGTCTTGACTGAATGTGACTCATGGTTAGAAGGCTAAATATGTCCCTTCCACGCATCCTTAGTATGTTTGTACCTGCAGCACGGTCTGCTGCATGGTTTGCCGAATTTCAAGAAAAGTTTAAGGACAGGCTGAGGGTATAGCTAGACCTGCAAAGTGCCTGCTAAGCAGGCTTGAGGTCCTGGGTTCAAACCCAGCAACTTCATATCATCCTGGGCTTGAAGCTAATTAGCAGAAATGTCTCAGATGAGCAAGAAGATCGGGACTTCTGGGGCCTTTGCATGAGGAGCTCGTAAAACGGCTCAACAGTACCCCCCAAAAATGTGTACATTGAAACTCAACTCCTGCTTCCTCAGAATGCAAATTGACCTAGGGCCTTTAAAGAGTCAGCTGTTTTGAAATGCAGCCATTAGAGTGGGCCCCAATCCAAACAGACTGGTTATCTTACAAGAAGTTTGGCTGGGTGTGGTGGTGCATGCCTAGAATCTCAGCAGGAAGATACCTGGGTAGGTATAGTCTGGGCCAAATGATGATCTGGAGCCTGGCCTGCTGGTTACCTAAGGAGACCCTGCCCAACAGGAACAGGAGACATCTGGACAGAGAGCTAAAGAGAGGAAGCAGATGCACGTCCAGAGAGATGTCCCTGAGCACTGGGTAAGAGGCAGGGCGGAGACACCACAGCTTTCCACACCGTGATCTTGGGCTTTAGCCTCCAAAAGTTGGAAACTAGCCCCTGTTACTTAGGCAGCAGTCTGGCATTTTGGGCGGCCGTCGTTATGGAGTAACACAGACAGAACCGATGTGATCCAATAATGACCTGAAATTTAATTTCTAGACCTGCAGGGTCTAGAAAAGGTTGTGAGCATCTCAGGCTACTCCTAAGATTCAGGTTTCTTAAAGTCTACAAACCATCAAGAAAAGTTTCAAGAAAACTATCAACCTCAGAATCTCCTGTCATAGTTTTTTGTTTGTGTTTGGTTTTTGAGGCAGGATCTCTCTCTCTCTCTGTCTATAGCCTTGGCTGTCTGGGACTCACGAAATAGTCCAGGCTGGCCTCTAACTCAGAGTTCCACCAGCCTCTGCCTCTGAGTACTAGGATTAAAGCCGTCTTCCATCATGCCCAACATTCCTACAATACTTTGAAAAATGCAAGCCCCAGGACCCATCTATGTATCTGGGCTCTTACTGTGGTGAAAAGTCCCAAGGGATGCTTTGTAAAAGCAAAGCCCAAGTCCCACTGCTTGGCGAGCGAGTGTTAGTTCATTATCTCAAGGGCTGGTGTATCCCGTGTTCAGGCAGCTGTCAGCGGGTACCACAGCACACGGGAAGGCTGAGATGGGGTGAGCACATGGGATCCTCTGGAAATACGTTCCTCACCAGTCTTCCCTAAGAATATAATGTCACAATTGAACAGTCATCTTCAGTACACGCTGCTACACTTCTCTGCTTAGGTTTATATTTAAAGGTCCAGTATCTTGGTGCCTAAATTGACAAAGGGAGAACAGGAATTGAATGAGCATATCTAACTTTTCTACTGCGAGTCAGTTCTTTATTGTTGTGCTTCTTCATCTTCTTCTTCCTCCTTTTTTGATACAGGCTTTCTGTTTGACATTCCTGGCCATCCTGGAACTCATTCGGTAGACCAGGCTGGCCTTGAACTCACAGAGCTCCACCTGCCTTTGCCTCCCCCCCCCCACCCAGTGCTGGAATTAAAGGCATGAGCCACCACCACCTGGCTAACTTGCTAGTCTTATAAGTTATTTTAGATTGAATGGCCATGCTGTTGGATAAACTATTACCTCTTCTAATGTAGAGGTCTTTCCTGCGGGCGGTGGTGGCATACGCCTTTAATCCCAGCACTTGGGAGGCAGAGGCAGGTGGATCTCTGTGAGTTCTAGACCAGCCTGGTCTACAGAGCTAGTTCCAGGACAGGCTCCAAAACCACAGAGAAACCCTGTCTCGAAAAACAAAAACAAACAAACAAAAAAAAANCCCCCCCCCCCCCCCCAAGTGCTGGGATTAAGGTGTGCAGCAGCAACACCACCACCGCCTGGCTGTTGTGCTGTAATCATACCCTGGGCCTTGAAAATGCAAGTGAGCTACATCCCTACCACGCCCTGGACTGTAAAATATATTTGGGAAGTAGGTAAGTGATAATAATAGCTACGAATGCTAAACACACATGGAAAGGATAAATATTCCACACAGGCCCTGTACTGAACGGGAATAAAAATATTTCCTTTCGGCATAAGGCAACTTTTCTTACTTTCATTTCTGGGATCAAAGAGGGAGAAGAGAAGGGGCTGATGAAGCATGAACTTTTTGTTTTTTGTTTGTTTGTTTTTTAGGACAAGGTTAATTTTTTAGGACTATGTAGCCCTGGCTAGCCCAGGACTCCTGGTTCTCCTGCTGTATAGCCTCTCTAGAGCTGGGATTACAGATACATTTTCAAAGCAGACAAAATAAGCGATACTCCTTTAAGTATGGCAGTTCCTTAGAGACGTGAAAACTGCCATCCTAGCTGGGCACTGTAGTTCAAACCTATAATCCCAACACTGGGGAGACCGAGGCAGGCAGATTGCTTTGTGCTGTAGGCCCGCCTGAGCTATGTTATGAGTTCCAGATCAGCCCGGACACAGAAAGAAGGCCTGGTTTTAAGAAACAAACTGCTGCCCTACTCACAAGGCTTTATTGATTTCTAAACAGGGCCTCACTCTGTAACCTAGAGTGTCCCGGAACTTGTATAGAAACTCATTCTGTAACCCAGGCTGGGCTCCAGCTCCTGGCAAACCTCCTGCCTCAGCCCCTCAAGGGCTGAGATTACAGACATGAGCTACCACACCCAAGAAGAGACGCCAGGTCCGTAAGGACTCTTGGTTTTGGTGGTTTGTTTTGTTTGAAAACAGAACTTTGGGCATGTTATCTGTTTTTCTGATGGTGTTCAGCCTTTGAACCCAACTCAGCTGAACTCCGAGTACTGACCAGGCCTGGTTAGGAGCTCCTTTGGCCATGGGATTCAGTATCAGGCCCATGGCTAATTATTTTTTCTTCCTATATTAACCCAGTTCAGTTTCTGTGTGCGGACAACTCAGTTCTCATAGGGTCCTGCCCCCATTCTGTGTGTGTGTGTGTGTGTGTGTGTGTGTGTGTGTGTGTGTGTGTGTATGGCTGGACTGAAAATCTTGTCATTCAGGTTTTAGGTTCTCACTGGGTCCTGTCCCCACTGTGTGTGTGTCTGTGTCTGTGTAGCGGAACTGAAAATCCTGTCATTCAGGTTCTAGGTGCTTTCCAGAAACAAGAATTCTGGCACTTAAAAGAATTGATTTAAAACGCTAGACCGTAATACCTTGGGGAGGGAGGTTCAGACGAAAAGCCCTGAGCACAAGCGGGTTTCTTGAGGAATGAAAAGGAGAGCGCGTGCCAGCCCGGGCAGCGAAGGAGACTCAACAATGCAGCACGGCCCTTTGGGCTGAAAGGGGGGGTCCAGAGGGGCCGGTGCGCTGCTCGGCGGGAGGGCCGGCCCTTCCCTGACCTTCCGTGCGGGCGGCGTTCTGTCCGACTCCGGGGCTCGGCGAGCTCCGGGCCTAGGCCAGGCGGCCCGGGGAGCCCCGCAAGGCGGACTAGGGGGTCGGTGGAGCGAGCGAGCGGGCCGGCGGGCGGCGCCTTCGTTAGAGGGCGCTCGGGGGCGCCGCCGCTTCCTCCTCCCGCCACCCCGCCCCGCCAGCCCGGGCGCACACAGCCGCCGGGCCCTGGGGACCGAGTCTCCACGCCGCCCGCCCGGGCCCGGAGCGGGGAGGCCGCGCCGCCTGGGCCGCCGCCGTCTCCTTCCGCCGGCCATGCATTCTTCCGGCTCCCGCAGCCCGGGCCGGGCCCCGGTCTGCCCGAGGTAACGTGGGGCGCGGCGGGCCGGGCCCTGGCGGCTGGGGGGGCGGGGAACGGTGCCGCTGGTCGCGTGGCCTGCGAAGGAGGAGGAGGAGGAGGAGGCGGCGGCGTCCCGAGGGCCGAGGGCGCGGTAGGCCCCGGGGAGGAGGCGGGGGCGCGCGCGGGGCATCGCCCGCCTCCCCGGGACCCGCCCCGGTGACAGGTCCGGCCTCTGAGTCCCCACCGCGCCTCTGTCCGCAGGCAGCCGCGAGGGGACTAGGGCGCCCGCGCGCCCGCTCGCGCCTCGGGCCGCCTGGGCCGCCGCCGCGTCCATGACCGCGACCCCCGGGCCGGGGACTCCTGCCGCCGCCGCCGCTGCCGCCGGCCCTCAACCCTGTCGCCGCTCGCCGCCTGCGCCCGTTGAGGTGAGCTCGCTGGGAGAGACTGGGCTGAGGGGAGCCGATGAGGGGAGCCCGCCGGGGAGAGCGGCTGGGAGACCCGGCTGAGGGGAGTCCCCTGGAAGGGAGCCCGTTGAAGGGAGCCGGCGGAGCAGACGCGGCTGAGGGGACCGGACCGAGGAGAGGCCGCCCCCTTCCTCACCTGGGCAGACCGCTGCCCGAGCCTCACCTCCGCCGGGTGAGCGGGCGGCGGGCGGGCTCGGCATCCCTCGCCCCTCGGCGGCTTCACCGCCTGGGTCCCGCTCCCCTCCCCCTCCCGCCGCTGTCTCTCACCTCCATCCTCCTTCCTGGGCCCCTCTCCTTTCCTTCCCCCTGAGAGACGAGGAAAAAGCGAACGGCCCGCCGCTGCGGCGGGCGAGCCCTGGGGAAGCCCCGGTCCAGGCACGGCCGGCGGTGGCGGGACCGTGAGCGGCGTCCGGCAGGTCCGGGTTACCGGCTAGCGGGACGGCTTCAGCGCTGTCTAAATATAATATACTCCGCCGCGGCCCGTGCCCCGCGGAACCGCTCTTGACCTTGTGCGGCTCCTCCCTCCTCCCCTCTGTCCCCCTCTCCCTGTCCCCCCTCTGGAATTTGACCTCGAGATTGACGCGCCGCCGCCAAGTGCTGCACCGGGAGAGCTCAGACCCTCGCGGTTTCTCCTGAGGAGATTTCTGTGCTGCTGGCCGCTTTAGAGGTGTTGCATCCATTTTCCTTTCGAAATGATTTTTTCCTTCCATCCCCAGAAAGACGGGAGCGACGCCAATGTGAGCATGGCTGTGACCGTGGAAGAAGCTCCGTGGATGGGCTGGGTCGTCGCGAAAGCCCTGATGAGATTTGCCTTCATGGTCGCCAACAACCTGGTTGCTATTCCATCCTACATCTGCTATGTAATCATACTGCAGCCCCTCCGGGTGCTGGACAGTAAGCGCTTCTGGTATATCGAGGGACTCATGTACAAATGGCTTTTAGGAATGGTGGCATCCTGGGGATGGTACGCTGGATACACAGGTAAGGGCGAGAGCACGCTACAGCATATGAGCCAATTTGCAATGTTACGCTTAAGTCAGGAGCCATGATTGAGTGTCTATTATGCTTTGGGTTGAGAATGCTTTGGCTGTGGGGGAAAGAAAGCCTTGCTGCATTTCTCATCAGAACCGCAGCCTAATGCTTTCAGAAGTACAATTTTATAATTAAATATTGTCGATAGATTCCTTAAATAGTGTATTTCTGGTGTGATTGACATTGACTTATTAAAAAAAGGTCTGCAGAAGCTATCGTAGAGGAACAGAAATGCATGGTGGAGGACTTTGGGGGCTCGCAAAGTGAGCACATGAGAGACTTGGTCCATACGCATTGACATCTAGAAAATCCATAGGAGTCGGACTTCTGCTCAGACAGTTCCCATGCATTGTGATCCTGCACTGTGTTAATGTTTTAAACTCAGCCCCCCATTTCTCTTAAGTATGTTTCTTTTGTTTTCTAGAATTTATCTATTTATTTATTTTATCTCATAAATCTGATATTATTAAAAATTTTAAAATTGTTATGAGACTTAATTTGCCCAGAGTGTCTTTAAATGGATTTGTTTTTGCTTTGACACTGCATTTTGGAGCAAAGGAGTGTTAACCACAGTGCTGAACAGGGCCTTCCGAGCACTGGGTGAGAAGTGGTGTTTACCTGTAAACTTCACATATTTTCAGAGCTTCCATTTCTGTCCAAATGCCATATCCTCCCCCCCTTGATTGTTTCTTTCATTGATTATTTCTTCCTTAAGATTGGAATAATGCGTGGAGAGGTAAGGTGTCTAGTGCCTGTGACCTGCGGAAGCTTGGCCAGGCTCCTCAGCACTCTGCTGCGGATCCCGCTGACAAGAGTGGAAGGGTCAGGAAGCAAAACAGTTCTCCATTTTCAATCCTCTCTCCCTCTTGACGACACAGCCTGCACCTGCAGATTTTATCCATACCAACAGCGCTCTGGTCTGGCCGACTCCTGCTGTGTGAGGAAATGCTCTCTGTTGCCCCTGAAGGCTCTCCCCTTCCCTCCTTGGTAACTGTTTTCCCGGGAGCCCCTGGGATAGTATACGTGTTGCTTCTCTGAAGAGCTGGTGAGACCCCACTGCTTTCTGGGTACGGGGATGAGCCCCTCCTTTCCAGAGCCCGGTGGCAGCAGTGGTAGAGAGACTCATGGAGCGCCTGCCTGCAAAGCAGAATGCCGTCTTAGCTGCACTGCCGCCTTAAGAGTGGCTTTGCTCAGTGTAGTGGGCTTTCCCAGGTATGCTCTGTAATAGCTGGTGGATTTATTCTTTGCACAGTAGATTGAGGTTTGCTTGTTTGAAATGAGATTATAGGCTTTCAGAAACAGCTTCTATTTTTCTACTTAAAAGCAATGAAATAATTGAAATATTTGTAGTTGTATGTAATACATATTTATGTGTGTCAGCCTGATGAAAGAAATCAGTCACTGACCTTGAGATTATGAGAAGCACAGGGCTGCTGCCTGGAGTTAGTCACCTGTGTCACTCCCGTAAGTCAGATCAGATCTCCTGCCTCAGCTTCCCGAGTGCTGGATTTCTGTGCCTGCCTCCCGTGTGTTTTAAACAGAGTTTCTTGGGGTGTCGTCTTTACTGAGTGCAGATTTCTAAGTTTTTGGTTTTTTTTAATCTCCATCGTAATGGTTATGGTGTGATCCCTGTATCTTAGTCTCTTTGAAACATTTGCTCCTCTTCAGGCTATCAAGTGTTCGCAGTTTGATCATTTTCATCAGGTTTTAGTTTGCGTATTTACATTGAGTTTTTTCATGAGCAGAATACACGGTTATGGAGTCTGGCCACAGTCTGATGATAACAGCGGTTAGGAAGTCAGACAAAGTAGGAATGATTTTGTTGAGGTTTAATGAGGCTAGCCTACATAGGTGTTAATGAACTCGTTTCTTTGCATTTTGTAGCTTGTTTCTTACCTTTCAACCAAGAGGGCAGTAGGGATTTTGCTTTCCTTTCTCACCGTTGGAAAATTGAACAATGTCAAAGGGACTCCCAGATCTGCTCAGTGACTTGGTGTTGGAATATTTGCCTGACGTGCACAAATTTCTGGTACCTCCAACAAGCAAATAAGGTTCCTTGTTTGTGTAAAGGAAAATTTATTGAGATCCATGAAGAGGCAAATGTCATAAAAAATGAATCCTTCAAACAATGCCCCATAAGCCCATGAACCTTTCTTTGTTTTTTTTGTGGCGATCCTGCTCATCGCCTTCCATGCTGGTTAGCGTCTTTGCGCCAGACTCCGTGTCATGGACGTTGTCCTGCGCATTTCACGCCACCACATTTCCTACACTGACTGTCCTGTTAGGATCAGGCTTATGTTTCAGGATTAAAATTGCCAAAATCTTGTTGAAAATCCACTTAGAAGGCAGTTTTAATGCCAGTTAGGGAAGTCAGCACTGGTTTAGAATGACAGAGTTTCCAGTTGTGGCCTTTGGTGTCAGGGAAGGCGGCTGCTCAGCTGAGGCCTGTGGTGATGATGTAACTACCCTGCCCGAGATGGTAGCAGCTAGCTGTATGTGCATGAATTAACACAACATAGAGTTGAAGTCCAGTTTGGTTACAGCTACATTCCCGCTGTGTTGGTGGCTCGGGGCCGCTGAACTGACAAGAACGGATACAGCACACTCTGTCACAGAGAATCCACTGGACAGTGCCAGCAGATTGTCCTTGTGGTTTTTTTCCTTTTCCTAGGAGAATTGCATTTTATTTTTTATCAGGAGAACATCTTTTTCTTGATCTAACGAATTTCTGGGCCGGGGCTATAGCTCAGTGGAAGAATACTTGTGTATATGTAAATAAGCGGTTCCTTTGGGATACACTGGAAGGTGTGCGACAGCTCTGTGTAGAGGGAACCAAATGAGTCCAGCAGACACTCCCAGGGCTCTTGTACCGGAGTATGACAGGGTCTCATGCTGATATGTGACCCTGGAACTCACTAGAGGTAGTCCAGGCTGGCCTTGAACTCATGGTGATCCTCCAGCTTCAACTCTCACTGCAAGCTTTTTAGAAGTGTGAGCCACCATGCCTGTCTTCCCAGAATTGTGTATTTTGTTTGTCTTCTCAGAGATGAAGAACTACCTATAGACAGAAAGATAGGAAGGGGTTTTCTGGTCTGACTACCTGTTTCTGACTTTGTCTTGTCAGATGAACACATTCCTTGAAGGCTCACTTGGTATTTGGGAGTGGTGAAAATTGCTGCCACTAGCTCTTCAGTGGCAAATGATGTGTAGACATTGCTTACTGGGACCAGCATTATACTGGTTTCCCTTGATACTTGGAAGGCCGTCTGGAAACGATACTGTCTTAACCGGTGGTCTACTTTGTGTAATGCATTACTTGGACTTGGAAGTCAGCCCATCTTCTCTCTTCCAATATAAGTGAAAACTGGCAAATTTCAGAGACAGCATATATATACAACAAAATAGGCTCTTTTAAAGTAGTTTTTTGTCTTTTACTCACTTATTTGGTAAAGTCATCGTCATCCAAACACATTTAACTAAAATCTCAGGACATCAACAGTTTAAAGACATTAAGGATAAAGTGGAAGCTGCAGAATTTCTACAAAGGACTGAGAATCTTTGGGCCAGAGTCTGACTGGCAGGAGCGTGGGGGCTCGCTGGGAACTGGCTCTGCTTAGCAAAGGCTGTTTTACTTAGTTGGGTAATTACCTGTGTTGGCTTCAGGGAGTGCTGGTGCAGTTCAGGCTGATGCTCCTGAGCCCAGGCTTTGCTGGCTCTGTGTGCTCACCTTTGTGGGTCATTTGACTATTTGGTAGTGTATGTGTGCTGAGCTGTGCCGAAGAATGTGTGGATATTTTGTTGTTAATTTAATTTTTTTACTCTGAGTGCAGGTAGCATCTGAAAAGCATTATTCTGATGGGAATGCAGCTTAGAACTCTTGAGTCAGTAGTAATGTTCCATCTTACCTCACCAGTGGGTATGTTTGCCTGTGTCCTACCCACAGGGCCTTCTCTAGAATCCTAGATCCTGACTCATTGCCTGATGTTTGTAGGGTGCTTGGTCAGTGTGTTTGCATGTATATCTGAGATAGGGCCTCCTATTCCAGCCCAGCCTAATTCTGGGTTGGTGAGGCTGGTCATAAACTTCTGATAGTACTATCTCTACTTCCCAATTGCCGGGATTATAGGTTTATGCCACTCCATGGGGCTGGATTTTGTTTTTTTTTTTTTTTTTTTTTTTTTTTTTTTTTGTGGGNTTTTTTTCAGGAGATGGAAGCTAGGGCCACATACATGGGGTTTGAAGCCCTCCACTCTAGAGTTACACCCCCAGTCCAGCTTTCTCTTTCTTGAGTAATCTCTTTCCTTTTTTGTTTTTTTTTAAATTTCTTCATTGATTGCCTTTCTCATATTAAGGTGACAATAATATGAAATATAAACCCCAAACCATGTCATATGGAGTTATTATTTTTCATTTAATATGTTTGTTAACAGTGCCTTGCTGTATAGTTTTGTCTGGCCTGGAACTCACCTTGTAGATCGGCCTGCCTCTGCTTCCCAAGTGTTTGGGATTAAAGGTGTGCACCATCATGCTCAGCCCTCATTTAGTGTTTTTATTGAGCTCGTGCCTGTGTGTAGAAACAGGTGCCCTGGAAGTGTTTAGATGCGTAAGGTGTGGTTGGTGTCTTTAAGGGACTCTGAGCAGCGCTAGTAGGGAGGTATGGACCAGAGAGGACAGAGACAGAAGGAAGCTCTCTAGTGGAGATGCTCTCTGCCTGCCAAAGGGCAGAGTAGCAGGCTGTGAGGAGTGCTTACAGTCCTTAGGGAAGGAGATGAGGGTTCAGTTTCCTGGTGTGGGGACTTGCCCTGTAGGGGTTTTCCTCTAATTCTGTCATCAGCACTTACAATACATTTAAGATATTTGAATAATTTGTCAGTTTGAAGTTGTTATTTTTGTGGCAGTGATAGTAGTCAACACTCATTGAAACATAGGCCGAGTAGTTCTTCACACTT